CGCCCCAGCGCAGCCGACCCTACAGCTGTTTTTAATCCCTGCTTCTCTCACTTGGCGTCCGGACTGGGGCTGACCAGCCGCGGAGCCACTTAGTGTTTCCTCCTCCCCCTAGCCTGGGTCTATCCTCCCTCCGCCGTCTCCTCTTTCTCGGCCTGTGTCCCCGGGGGGCCGAGTGTGGGAAGAACGAATTTCCGCCGGGTTTGCTAGCTCCTGGCCGACTTGGGTCCCTTCCGGACGCAGCCCGCGCGGTCCCCAGGCTTCCCACCCGGGCTGCGCTCCGAGCCGGGACTGCGAATGAGGAGGCGCCGGCTGCGGGGGCCTAGTGACCCCGGCTGGGCAGTCAAGCCGCACCCCAAGGAGCTCTTGGAAGGGATTCCGCTTGCAGTTGGGGAATCCGCTCGGCGGGGAGAATCCGCGCCAGGGAATCCAGCTCTCCGGACTCTGCTGCAAACAAAAAGCACCCGGTCTAGCTCCCTCCTCCCGCCCCCGACGCGCACCCAAAGAAACTGTTTTCTTCAGAAATGCAACAAGTAGCACCCGCGGATCCCCGAGCGCCCCACGCCTCCTGACTTGGCCGCGCGAAGCCAGCCCGCAGAGTCCCGGGCCAGCCACCCGGACAAAGGGCGGAGGAGGGGCTGGACGCAGCAGAGAAGTCCGAAAGAGGCCGTGTAGCGACTCTGGCTAGGCCGAGGGGAATGCAGAGACACGGAGCCGGCTGGCCAACAGGACAGTCGGGCCGCTGCACATTGGGCTGGCGGCGATGGAGGCTGTCCGCACCGTGCGCTTCCTGCTCGTGCTGTGCGGATGCCTGGCGTTCCTGCAGCGGGCCCAGCCCCTGTGCCCCGAGCGCTGTGACTGCCAGCACCCCCAGCACCTCCTGTGTACCAACAGGGGGCTCCGTGCGGTGCCCAAGACCAGCTCGCTGCCCAGTCCCCAGGACGTGTTTACCTACAGCCTGGGCGGCAACTTCATAAGTAACATCACCGCCTTCGACTTCCACCGCCTGGGGCAGCTCAGACGGCTGGACCTGCAATACAACCAGATCCGCTCTCTCCACCCCAAGACCTTCGAGAAGCTCTCGCGGCTGGAGGAGCTCTACCTGGGGAACAACCTCTTACAGGCGCTAGCTCCGGGCACGTTGGCCCCGCTGCGCAAGCTGCGCATCCTTTACGCAAATGGGAATGAGATCGGCCGCCTGAGCCGCGGCTCCTTCGAGGGCCTGGAGAGTCTAGTCAAGCTCCGGCTGGATGGGAACGCCCTGGGGGCGCTGCCGGACGCAGTCTTCGCTCCCCTGGGTAACCTGCTTTACCTACATCTGGAGTCTAACCGGATTCGTTTTTTGGGCAAAAATGCCTTCGCCCAGCTGGGCAAGCTGCGCTTCCTCAACCTCTCTGCCAACGAGCTGCAGCCTTCCCTGCGCCATGCGGCCACCTTCGCCCCACTTCGCTCCCTGTCCACTCTCATCCTGTCCTCCAACAGCCTACAGCATCTCGGCCCCCGCATCTTCCAGCACCTGCCGCGCCTCGGCCTGCTTTCGCTCAGGGGCAACCAGCTCACGCACCTCGCGCCGGAGGCCTTTTGGGGGTTGGAGGCCCTGCGCGAGCTGCATCTGGAAGGGAACCGGCTGAGCCAGCTTCCCCTGGCGCTGCTGGAACCTCTGCACAGCTTGGAGGCACTGGATTTGAGTGGCAATGAGTTGTCTGCTCTGCACCCGGCCACTTTTGGCCGCCTGGGCCGGCTACGGGAGCTTAGCCTGCGCGACAACGCGCTCAGTGCCCTTTCTGGAGACATCTTCGCCGCCAGCCCGGCTCTTTACCGGCTGGATCTAGACGGCAACGGCTGGACTTGTGACTGCCGACTGCGGGGTCTGAAGCGCTGGATGGGCGACTGGCATTCTCAAGGCCGCCTCCTGACAGTCTTCCTGCAGTGTCGCCATCCGCCGGCCCTGAAGGGCAAATACCTGGATTACCTGGACGACCAACAACTGCAGAATGGGTCTTGCGCAGATCCCTCACCTTCCCCCACCGCGGGCAGCAGGCAGTGGTCCCTATCCACTGCTGCCGGGGAGGAAATGACGCCCCCTGCAGGAGGACTCGCAGAGGAGCTGCCACCGCAGTCCCAGCCCCAGCAGCGGGGGCGATTTCTACCACGAGTGCTCTGGGATGGAGCTGCCAAGGAGCTCTTGGGCAACCGCACTGCATTGAGATTGAGCCACCGGGGTCCAGGCCTGCAGCGTCAGGGCCCCTCTGCCACTACTGCCTTGGACCCTGTGCCTCAGCCCTTGGACCTGCATGAGAAGCCGGGTCCGGGACGTCCGACCCAAGCGGAGCCCACTCCGACGACTCAGCCTGCCTCTGCCCCACCATCTGCCAGAGAGGCCTGGCAGCGCACAGCAAAGCAGCGCCTAGCCTTGGAGCAGCAGGAACGCGCAGCTCAGTCCGACGGCGGGGTCGGCTTGCCGCCGCTGGTATCTGATCCTTGTGACTTCAACAAGTTTATCCTGTGCAACCTGACGGTGGAGATGGTGGGCACCGACAGAGCCTCGGTGCGCTGGGCGGTTCGCCAGCACCGCAGTCCCAGGCCGCTGGGCGGCGCGCGCTTCCGCCTGCTCTTCGACCGCTTTGGCCAGCAGCCCAAGTTCCACAGGTTCGTCTACTTGCCTGAGCGCAGTGACTCCGCCACGCTGCACGAGCTGCGCGGGGACACCCCCTACCTGGTGTGCGTGGAGGGTGTGCTCGGGGGCCGAGTCTGCCCTGTGGCCCCCCGGGACCACTGCGCAGGGTTGGTCACCCTGCCAGAGACAGGAAGTCGAGGCACTGTTGACTACCAGCTGCTGACCTTGATCTTGTTGGCAGTCAACGGGTTGCTGGTGCTCCTGGCGCTGGCGGCCTGGGGATCCAGGTGGCTGCGGAGGAAGCTGCGTGCCAGGCGGAAAGGTGGGGCCCCGGTCCACGTCCGCCACATGTATTCCACCCGACGGCCACTGCGCTCCATGGGCACTGGAGTTTCTGCCGACTTCTCCGGCTTCCAGTCTCACCGACCTCGCGCCACCGTGTGTGCCCTCAGTGAGGCAGACCTCATTGAATTTCCTTGTGACCGCTTCATGGACAGCACCGGGGGTGGGGCGGGTGGCAGCTTGAGACGGGAGGACCACCTCTTGCAAAGATTTACCGACTAGGCCCAGTGCTTTCAGGGGTGTGGAGACGATCTCTGGCTTTGAGGAACCACTCTTTGTGAACCCCCAGCCCATTTCAGAGGAATACCCTGCTTTATCAGACCTCCTACTTTCATCCTTTTGTGCATTTGTCAGGGGCCAAGAGCTACTGAAAACAAATCAGGGTATTACCCTCCACTTCCCTGTATTCACTCACAAAGCAAATGGATGGCTCTTGGTGATCAGCCAAGAATAAGGACAAATGTATGATGTGGTAGGGGTGGGATGCCTTAGCACAGCTGGGGCAAGGCTTCTGTGGATTGCAGTGCAGTAGCCTGGTCTCCTTTGGGCTAAGAGCCGGTGCATTATGCTCCCAACAGGACCTGCAAGACTCCAGTGCATGCTTTGTTTGCTCAATGTCAAACAGGGGTATTCTGGGTCTATTTGAGGAGAAAGGGACCTATCACTATTACAAAGGAGGACTTGCAACTGATCTCATTGTTGTGGTGTTCTATGCCAAGATGGGTAGGGTAAACAGGTGGTACCACTTGAGTCAAGGAACTCTTTGGGGATCCTAAGGTTAAATAATGAGACTTTTTTTTTTTTTAACAATGTGAAGACCTCTGACCTTTAATAACTGACCAATAAACTCAAAGACTATTTTAATTGAACTGGAACCATTCCGTTGTTTAACATGTACAGGAGATGATGAACTTTTGCCGACTTTGAGGGTAACTAAGATTAGAGTCTCAGGAGAAGGCCGCATGCAAGATTCTCTGTCAAGTTTGCTCCTGTGGTTTTAATTTTATTTTTAAATCTATCTATGGAAAAGGACATTTCAATGCCATTTTGAAAAGAATTCAATACCTTTATAACTGATGACCCATAAGGAATTCCAGCCTTCCAGCTCACTCATCATATCTCTGACAAACTGTGTAGATGCGTATAAATGTGGTGAATGTCTCATTGCATTGTACTAGTGACATGCAGTTAACTGCACCTACTTCTGAATTGCACAGTTAAGCAATAAAGGACATTTCCTATTAAGGAAGCGAAGAGTGACTGTCAGGACTGCAGACTTAGCTCAGTGGTAGAGCACTTGCTTAGCACGCATGGGGCTCTGGGTCTACTTCCTGCACCCCCAAAACAAATTAAGGGTGATTTTCCATTGATAGTGTAATTTTGGGCCACATTGATGTATTTCTTTATAAGAAATAGTAGGTGGGAAGAAATTGCATTAAACAAATGTGAAAATATTTCATCAGGGGGTATCTGTTTCTACTAAAACCAAGAGACTGTCATAAATGCTAAACCCTCACTGTGAAATAATTATATATTTTTCAAATTAATTCCTCCAATATCCAGTGTTTTGCTGTTATTAAATCTTATCTTTTAGTAGTAATTACAATATTTTTTAAATTTAGGCTTAGGTTTCTATATTTGTTCAGTTTTGTTTTTAGCTATTTTGGATATGTTTACTCCCTGATATTTATGAAGTCCGTGTTTATCACTAAATGTAGTGTTTGGGTTCACACTAATAATTTGTGTGTGGTCTAATTGTAGTTACTAAGAGGGTGTACACTGTGGTTACAGTCACTGTAGTTATGGATTTATTGTCAGTGGGGTGCTGTGAAGGCCAGCCAACCCAATGGTACTATGGCTAACAGTGACTCTTCTGTTTCAGGCCTCAAGCCCCAAGGGTCCCCATGACTCAGGGAATCAGTCACAGTCCAGGGCCCTTACTCCTTTAATATTTGGCCTAAATGAAGCCATGCCTGCCCTTGTCCCAGCAGCTGAGTAGGAACCCAGGCAACTAAATGAGTTGATCTTTGTTTATGTCCAGATGAGTAAATGTTCAGACCACTTGAACTACAGCTGCTTTTCTGGCAGTCTTATCTGCAGGCCAAAACTTAATAAACCACAGGAAATAGACTGCCATTCTTTGTTTACTGCCAGGTCTTGTTTTAGATTCAGAGCATATGGGCACATGGGAGTCGTGGAGCTGTTCACTCTTATTTTCAACTTGCAGGCTCTCTGGCACCTTTTGTATTCCTGGTGTTTTTCATGCATAACACCATCGCACCTCTTAGCTATTTCTTTTATACGGTAGTAATATTGTGTCCCAATGAAAGTCTGGAAAAGACCTCAGAAAATCACCTATATTGAATGCCTGGTCTTAAAACAGTTTCACTGAAGTCTTTCGGTGAGAAATGAATAAATGTTATACATTGTTACGTCAAATTATGTCAATAAACCCAATTACTAATAGATATGTTTTGTTGTTGGCCCTTCCAAATGTGTTGATGTGCTTTTAAAATGATTTGATGTTTTCTTTTTGACAGCAGTTTTCGTTCCTGTAAATGAAACATAAGCTTGAAGTTTGTGAAGTTTTTACCATTTTTATTTTCATGGGCGGATATGAATTTTACTTTAAAGAAGTGTTTTATGAATTTATACTTCAAAAGACAATGGTATGGCTCTGAAGGCAGAGGGTCAGTGGAAGTATGAAACATTGCTAAACAGCAGTAGCAATAAGGTGGCTGGGTCTCAGAAGGTGTTCCCTGTTCTAGAAAATTCAAGCCTTCTGGATCTCATGGACCATACTAAGAAAGAACTATCTTTACTGGATCCATTTTTTGCCATTACAGAGCTTATGGAAAGATAACATTTCTCAAGAAAAAAGAATAAGCATTGTATGAGTTAGCAGTATTTGATTCCCAAGCCACAGTTAGAACTGCCTGTGGTATACCGTCACACAAGGGGATAGACAATTCCACCACGCAGGAAACTTCCCAGTGCTGCCAGGTGACAAAAATCATGTGACCAGAACAGCTTCTCTAATTTGCCACACACCTATTTTCACCAGGAGTCAGCAATACCTGGCAGCTACTATATATTAAAGAGGCATTAAAGGGTTAAGAGCACTGGCTCCTCTTGAAGAGGTGCCAGGTTTGGTTCCTAGCATCCACATGGCAGTTAACAACCATTCCTAACTCCAGTTCAACAGAAATCCAACACCCTCTTCTGACCTCCTCCGACATTGCATGACAGAGGTGCACTTACGTGTGTGCAGGTAATACACTCTTTCACATAAAATAAAAATAATAAATAAAATAAAGAGGCATTAAAAACAGATACTGAATTGCTTGGTATTTGTAGTTAATCAGTCCCCAGTTCTCTTTTAAGACTTGGAGATAGAGGATAATAAAGCATTGGAACTAGGAGAATTATTCAAAACTTCAGACTGTGACCCAAGCAAGACCTCACTGTCCTGGAAGAATTACAGTGTCAGGAAAGTGCGTGATAATATGGACATGGATGCAATGAGGTCATAGCATCATCAGAAGGCCACTTTTGCTCTTTTTTTCCTAATTTCTTTGTGCCTCTACTTCTGTATCAAGTGAAATGAGCATCCTGAGTTCTGGCTGCATAGTGGTACTGTGAGAAATAACTAAACAGCAGTCAAGACCATCAGTTATCTCATGGATGTTCCCTAGCTATTAAGTGCATCCTTTGTAGTGGTATTCTCTTACACATGAGACAGCGAGTTATATGATGCCTTTTAGAAGATTCATGGACAAGGCATTTCTGCTTACTGTCAGATAATGAGATTGTAGCAATCCCTGCCCCCCCCATTCCAGTTAATTGAGATTCATAATTTAGTGTAGATGGTAGTTCTTGGAAAAATTTCTCATGATTAAAAATGTGAATTAAATAGTCAACAAACTTTTGTGCTTATGAAATTCTTGGCATAATTAATTCATCCTTTGGCTCGAAACTAAGAGTCATTTTGCAATAGGTACCCTTCCTGATCTCTCCTTGACAGCCTCCCCCTGATCCATTTTCTCTCAGTTTACCTAAATGTATACTTGTAATGCATGAATGCCCTTCATTTTCTAGATTTGAGAAAGATTTTATTGATTCGTGACTTTCATACAATGTAGTTTGATCATATTCAGGCCCACCTCTCCATCTGCTGCCTCCCTTACCCCTGACTTCATGTCTTCTATTAGCAAATGAAAAATCCCATCCATCTTACTCAACACATCTGAAAATATGTACCAGAAAATCATATCTCATTAGAATGTCAGTGATCTATAATTCTTACATACGAATGGGCCAAAGTAGGGTATTCCCTTTTCCTCTACTCCTTTATACATGCTTTGGGACAGAATACACCCAGGTTTCTTGGAATGGAATTTTCACACTTATTTTCTGTGTCATTTGCACACCACTTACAATTGTCAAGTAGGGATTTCTCTCTTCTGCAACAACCAGAAACACTTTGGCTTTCTCTTCAAAATCAGTTATTCACAGCCCAAGGACGTGCAAGTTACACTTTGGCTGTTTCAGGTCCTCACTCAGCACAATGACCCCACTGTAGTCCAAGGCATTCTCCAATACATTGACACCCCACAGGGTTTTACTGTGTGTGAAAGCAGAAGCTAGGTCCCAACAGCAGGCAGTTATTAGCTTATAGGTCTCCAACCCAAGATTCTTTGAGTGGCTGTTGTGATGTTTAACAATGTCACATGACAGCTTTACGCCAGTGTCCTCTAGGTTACTTTCTGAAATTTGTAAACCCAGCTCTTGTCAGCCACTGGGTGGTGACAATGGTCAGGATGACCATGGGTGCTTCTGAGGTCAGTAGGTGACCAGGTTTGGCTGGGCTCTACAGGCCTGTGTGGCTCTCCAGTTATTTCCCGCTTACTGCCATGTCCTGACTTCAGAATTTTGAAATGAGTATAGAAGCACCTAAGGTCAGGGAAATATTCATCTTGTGTGACAAGGTTCCTCACATGGTCTAACACTCATATTCAGTTTCTTGTGAGCCATTGCACCCCAATCTCAAGGCCAGCTGCCAAGGACGTGCCTCATTCCACAGCCATCTTTTCACATTTTCCCAAAAATGCCTTTCTTCTGAGGGATTTCAGACCATTTCGTTCTGCTCAATCATGGGCAAACAATATTCATTTCATTTTGCATAGGGAGACTGAGATATTTGGCAATTACACTTAAGTATTAATATGTTAATTACTGAAATAATTAGGAAAGACTAATTAGGAAAGCAACCCTCTGGATGCCTTACCTTGGAACAGGATACCTAAACATTCCACTTCATCTGTTTGAGAGTATTACTGCTACAGGTGGTATGATTACTCCTTGACACAGTAAGGTGATTTGTAATTTGGCTATGAACTGGTATCCTATGTAGATAGGATTTGACTGTCATGCACCAGGGTTGCAGACCACAGCATATCCTGACTATGTAGGTATATAACATTGCTTTCAGACTGACAAGTACTTTACAATTCTAGCTCTGTGACATAGCCTGTGCTGGGATGGGGGAGCTGTAGCCATGTAAGAGTGATTCCCTTTTTTAAATCAGTTTTTGAAGAAGCAATACTTACCCTGCAGCTGATGTCGCACTTGGCTCTGAGTGCATGTATGCTGAAGCATGAGAAAACACAGTCTCACTGTAGACTACCACCTTCTTATCCCCCTTTTTCTAACTGTGGTATCCTCCATATTTTTATTTTAAGAGATTACTACCTACCAATGATAAGGAACACCCATATTAGTACTTCTCATCGAGTTAACATTTTTTAATGTTTGTTTTCAGAGTGAAATGCCTCCATTGAAAAAAATCCTCCGGTTTATATCTCTAAACCCTCTCAAACCCAACTACCATTGTAAATTAGATTTCTTTCTTTGTAGTTTAAGCTTAAGCACAGTTGCCACAGGGCACATATGGAGGTCAAAGACAACTTGCAGGAGTTAGTCCTAGCCTTCTGCCATATGGTTCAAGGAGGTGGAACTCGGGTCTTTAGTCTTGGGCCCAAGCATGTTTACATGCCGATCCATCTCACTTGCCCTCTTTTGTCTTTTAAATTGGGAGTAACACTTCATTCCACCAACATTCTATTGTTGTATCTATTACACGTATGTTGTATGTATTTAGTGTTATTACAGTTTAGTCTGTATGAACACAGGATTGCAGCATACTGAACCATTACTACCAGCTGAAAACCACAAATTCCTGGAAGCTTCTGCTCATATTTTCATCACCCTATCAATACAGAACTGTTTTATGTGTTTCTGTTTAAAGGCATCCTATTTAATAAAGTGGTTCATCTACTATGGACTGTCAGCCAATAGCACTCTAGGTCAATGTCTGAAAAAAGCACATCTAACACATATTCCCTCCATGACATTCAACACAGACTTCCTGAGCTCAGGGAGATGGGCAACATTTCGACATTATACCCAGAGCCCTGTTAAGCAGAAGAATTACAAACAGAAAGCACAAGAATGCTAAAAACTTGTCACTAAGCAGACCTGTGAAAAGGACACTTGTTTACAGTATGAGAGTCGAAATAACAGTTCTACTTAGCTTAGAGCACTTAGGAGCAACTGTTCAGCAAGTGACCATGGGAGTGCTAGAGAGTGTTGATTCTGGGATGACAAATTGTGGTAGGAAGATGGATTTTCAGATGTGGAATTTGAGAATAATGAAGACCGACTATGCCTTAACTTTAAAAAAAAATTATGATTATTACTGTGTTTGTGTATGATGAGGAGAGCAGGCCCTGACAGGTGTGTGTGGGGGGTGTGGGTATATTTGTGGGTGTGCCTGAAGGTCAGTGGAATACTTTCAGGAATCATCTCTCTCCACTATGGGTTCGGGGAATAAAACTGTCATGAGGCTTGCACAGCGAGGACCTTGACCCTCTGAGTCATTCTGCTGACCCTCAACTGTACATTTTCGTCATCTCACCTCCCTCTCCTGTGTCCCTTTCTCCCTCATGAGATCCTATAATTTGCCTTTTATACTCTTGAGTAATCTTTTGTCTTTTAAAACATTTTTATTATGTTTTCACTTATTTATTTTGTGTGCATGCATGTATGGGCAAGAAAATGCCACAGCAAACAGGTAGAAGTCAGAGATAAATTTGAAGGGGTTGGTTTTCTCCTTTCACCAAGTGGGTCCCAGAATGGAACTCAGACCTTCAGGTTTGGTGGTAAGTGCCTTTACCTGTTAAGTCATCTTACAGGTAAAGTTGTCTTTTAAACTGATAACTATACCTCTTTCTACAACCTACTGTTGTAGTATCTACTCCACACACTGCTGTGTGTACACATTGTATATGTATCTTGTATGTACTCTTGGTATGCATTGTGGCTTTGTATATACCTATATGAGTTGAGGGTGGAAATGGGGAAGTGTCTGTTTCTTGAATTTTTCTGGTTGTTTTCCTTAAACTACTTT